CCTGAATCGACCTGTACGTACCCCGGGCCGTGTGGATGCCCTGGCGATCTTAATATTCGCCGATCCGAGCCGGCTGCGCCCTTTCGAGTGGGTCGTTCCGGTAAAGAGACCCGGCCTCGCGCAACGGCGCGCGAGCCTCTGCGCTTGGCGCTTGGCACGGGCGTTTCTGTAGAAACACTTAAGGTGATATGTACGTAAAAAACAGTCGAAATATTTATAAAACTTTTCCCTACACCGAGTGCACCGAATTATCTGAGATCTTAACGCGTGATTATGGAGGCCCTAAGGAGAAACGCGATGCTCATGAAATTTCAAATAAAAAAAAAAAACAGAGAAAAAAGTGTGCATTCATGTCGGACACGAGCCGAAAAAGACACTTTTTGTTCGAAAGATGAAATTTCACGAGCATTGCGTTCTTCCTTAGGGCCTCCATAATCACGTGTTAAAGTTTCAGTATTCGGTGCGATACTTTTAAATGTATGTAGGAGCGAAACTGTAAGGGGTTTCCAGATGGTAATAATTGGGGGTATAAATAGGTTTCCGCGAGATGTAGGAAAACGTGGGAGGACCGAGACGGTCTTTCCGTAAAGAACCGCGGTCGCCTCCAGTGGGCCTTTGTACTTGGCGCGAGGCGCAACCTCGGCGCTCTCCCTTACAAAACGAGGACAACTAAACGCACGATGAACATCGCGATTTCCACGCGTCCCTTGAAACCTGGACAAAGGGCTCTGCTCCCGGGAGCGTAATTCAGGCCGATCATTCGGTGAAAAAAAAATAAAAAAAAGCGAAGCGACCTAGGCGGCGCCGTTCGGTCGGTAAGACAATCGCCGCTCGTACCGACATCGCGGCTCCCGAGCTGTATATCGGTTCCAGGGCTCCGGGAAAAAAAAAAAAAAATCGAGCCGCGTTTACTCGCGATCGTTAGCGGCCATTGTCGCGCGCGACCGCGCGGGCGCGTTTTCCGTCGGTAAATGGATATACGTCGGTGAAAAAGGGTCCCTTTGAGAGCCGCCAGCTCGTTCCCGCCAGAGATTAATTAACGAAGCACTCGCCCGAGGCGGCCGGAGGATCAGCGCGCCCCCCTCAGTAGGTGTAGAGCTAATAGGGAACAACCTGACTACTTATCCGGCTCTGGCCGATCGCTCGGTCGATATCGTAGGGACCGACCGATCGATCGAGCTTACCGACGCCCATGAAGGTGGAAAAAAATCTCCCACCGTCTCTAAACCCGTGCAAACTCATCTGTACAGATTCAACCTGCGTGTAAATCCTAAATAACTCGACATAAACGTGGGTATTGCAAATCGTTACAGATGGAATTTAATCGCGAGAGACATTTTCCAGTCGTTTAAAATGTATCTGCAGATACTTTGGGACGTTAGAAGTGGCATTAACGGAGACTAATGGATTTCATGAATACTTTCGGTAGCGTCGCGTTGGCATACCAAGATGGCGGCGTCACGTGACCTCCCAACTGCGCCATCGTTTTTTTTATTTTAATTATCGTTAATTTAATCGCGAGAGACGTTTTCCAGTCGTTTAAAATGTATCTGTAGATACTTTCAGATGTTAAAAGTGGCATTAACAGAGACTAATGGATTTCATGAATACTTTCGGTAACGTCGCGTTGGCATACCAAGATGGCGGCGTCACGTGACCTCCCAACTGCGCCATCGCTTCGATCATTCAATCAATGACCGCATCAAACCAGGTTTAGAATTCCCCCGACGACGATACACCCTGGATCAAAGTCTCGAGCGACATTCGTGTAGTCGGAAAGTCGAGAATCGAGAAGGCAGTCGCGGTTTTTCCCCGCGAGGTGGCGACAGACGGAGAGACGCGGGACAGAGAGGGGAGACAATCGCGATCCTTTTGGGGATTCCCGATCCAATCGGCGGATCCACTCTGGCGCGAAAGCCTCGCATGTGCAAAAGCGTCGGGACGTCAGATAAAGCGAGAGAGAGGGAGTAGCGGGGGCGAGGGAGCGAGAGGGGAGAGAAATACCGAGCGATCTCTTAATAGAGTCGTCGACGTGCGGATTCTCGGGGCACGGACGGGGGCGCTACCCTGCGGATAATCGACTGAAAATAACCCCCAGAGACGACCCCCCTCGGGTCCATGGACCGATGGTGCATCTGTTCGCCACGACCGGCAATGACTCCGACAATTAGTGGGGGGGGGGGGGGGCAAAGGCCGATCTCTCGCTCCCTCTTCGTTTATCTTCGAAATTACTCGGAGCTTAGCGGGCCCTCCTTGTCGGGATGAAACGAGCAAATCACGGGGGGTGTCTTTAAGGGCGGAAGCGATGGGGCGTGGGTCGAGTGCACTGGGAAAATCACTCGTTACGTCGACGTCCTGATCTCGAGGTTAGGTTCGATCGGAGTGATAAGAGATCGAATTTCTCTAATTCGCGCCCAGTGGGCTTGACACACCTGTTTACTGGTCTTATTTTTTAGCATTAAAATCGCTGCGCAATCTGCCCTGACACTTTCGTTTCTCATCTAGCCTTTGATAATTGCATATCGTTCGAAATATGATGTGCATACCAAAAAGGTCAACATATTTATATTTCTGATTATTTTTCTCGAAAAGGAAATGTGATTTTAAGGGCAGCGGGTTTTTTTTTTAGGGCCTTCATATTCACGTGTTAGGGGTTTCGGATAATTCGGTGCACCCGGTTTGGGGGAATGTTTGATAAATATGTATGTTGACTTTTTGGTACATATATATCCCACTTTCGGGTCACCTTGAATAAAGAATTCAGAAGTCTTCGTAGAAGCCCAGAAGGATACGGACGTTCGATGCGCGACAAATAGTACGTTAGCCAACTTTTAAATATATATAACATAGGACCTGGGATTTTATGGGACTTCTGAATTCTTTGCCTTGAATCGGTGTCCTTTTCCGGGAGGCCGCAAGATGGCGGCGCGGACTCGACGTGTCCGGCCAGCCAGGAAGTCGGGGAACGTTTAATTTTCGCTCCGGTTTACCGGGGGGTGGGTCTGGGCGGCAAAGTGGCGAGAGCCCGAGCAATAAGAAAGTAATGGCAATGCGCGGAGCCAAAGCAAAGGGGTGGCTCGCAATTACGGATTTTGAGTGACAGATGCTCGCCCGGTAGTCCCGGAAGATTAAAACAAGTAATCAAAGGCCCCAGTAGCCACCACCCCGCGATGGATATGGATGGATGCGCGCCCACACCACGGCCTCATCTTCTCCTCTCTCTCCCTCCCGCCGCCCGGCCCCTCGCTCCCTCTCTTTCCCCCGCGACCCCAGACGGCTCTTACCTCGGGACGCCTTTTCACCAAATCGCGTTTACACAGGGACATAACGGCATCACTGTGAGAACACTATAGTGGAATTTTTCTAAAATATTGTATAAACGTTGAAAAGTGAAGAAAGAAAAATACATGCTCGACATTCTAACGTTTAAATTAAATTGCCTCGCTAATTACAGGCATACTTTTTCCCCGTGGAATAAAACTAGTAAAGGACTTTTCAAGCCCTTTTTTAAATATATATATATATATACGACTTGTAAATCCTGTCTAGAAATTTTCTTGTACGTGGTGTATTGTCTTGGGAACTTGGCGCGAGCAGCGGCGGCTCGTCGCGTGGTGGGGGAAGCAGGGGGCGTGGCCAAGGAGCGCATCGTTAATGTCCCCCACTGTACGCGTTTGAAGGCCCAGGATTTCCTCGAGACTCCTCGCTTCCGAGGGCGACAGAGGCGGATGAGGCTCCTACGGGGACAGGATTGGATCTGGGGGGATAGGAAAGGATGAGCCGTTTATCTCCGGCGTCGCTTTTCAGCCTTTTTATCTCCCGCGCTGCCTCCACCTCCGGAGGAGGTTCTTCCCTCTCTCTCTCCCTCGTCCCAATCTCGCGGGGTCTCTTCGTCGTTTCCAGCCCCGGGCCGCCCCTTTCTCGCGTACCTCCCCTACGAAAATAATAAGCTTTCCTCTCGCGAATTTATCACGACGACCTCCGGCGTCTAAGAGGGAGGGAGGGGGAGAGGGGGAGCCCCAAGGATACCCGGCTTTGGCCGCGGTAATATCATAGTTCCCCTGGAAATGCGGAAAAGGGAGGAACACATCCTGGCCTCTCTTCTTCACGCGTCGTTCTTTACTCCGAATATCTCTTTTATCCATAAGGTAGCATATATTACGTAAAATAGTTTCTCTTTTATCCATAAAGTAGCATAAAAATCAGGGTGAGCAATTTCCCCCTTTTCGACCTTTCTGACGTATATTACGTAAACCACGTGGTTTACCGGGGAATATCCCAGTAAAGCAGTAAATTACATTTCCAATATAAAAAATGTCCTAGTTTAATATGAAATTTTCTAATTCGATTTATTATATCCGAGTTAGCCCGTAACGACGCTAGCGACAATTGCGGGAAAATTTTGCGACTCGATTATCCAAGATGGCGGCGTTTAGAATACGAGGTTCAAGTGGTACGTGCCAGTAACTTTAATTAATAAGCGAGGGAGATTAATTCATGCAAAATCGAGCAATTTAGCGTAGCATCATTAATAATCATTTTTCCTATTTCCTGTTTACAGGTCACGAGGTCTCAACCTGAAGAAACGAGGGAAGGTGGCACGGAGTTTCTCCCGGGCAAACATTTCAGAGGTTGAAATTTCCGATTTCTAACAGGATGACAGGACAGCCGAGGAGGTGGCACCGAGTTTCGTGCCCTAGATCTACGAGTGATTTTCAAGGATCAGGAATAGCCGATTAGAGGGTTTGCTAGACACGCTCGTCTAATTAAACGTACTCATTGTTATTGTTCAATAAGTTGCCTTATTACATTAATCATTTCACAGTTCATTATACATCAGGTACCGCAGTACATAACTTCTCGATCTCCTTTTTTACATTACGTTCACGTTACCACCACCAGGCTGCGCCATGTACACGAGGACCATTCATGACCACCAGTACAGATGTAAATTGGCCCTTTCCGCGCGAGAAGTTCTACCTGAAAAAATGAAATTCACAAACGTGATAAAATTTTACACAATTCGGTGCGCCCAAGGAAATTCCTATAAACAACTTTTAGATGCCCGGTTGGCGTAAAGAAACCCGGCAGAGCTCCGCACCAAGTACGAGCAGATATAAACTCGTCCTGACTCCGGGATATCGAGGAGTCATAAGAGAGCCCTCGACGTAGGGATTTATTAGGCGGTGCGGTATATGCGGAAAGGGCGGAACGTCCCGGGGCCTTGCACCACTCGGCGATGTGTCCGCTGCGGGCGCTGCGGATTGCGGTTTCCCCGCGCCGCGTGTATACGCGACCCCAGTTGGGGTCGGGGTTTTATTGGTTTGATAGACCGCGGGGGGGAGGCGGAGAGGAAAACTACCCCGATGACGCTCGTTTCCAGCTCGCGGATTTGACTCCGTTCCTCCCTCTCCCCCTCCGGGCGCAACTTTGATCCCCGACTTTATGCACCTGCTATTCTGCCCGGGATATCCGAGCTCTTCGCATCCGAATGCATTACTCGCGGATACACCCGGAATCTCGGGGTTTTATGGATTTCGAGACCCGCGAACGAGCGCTGTTTCCCCCCGGCAAAGGGAGACAAAGGTGCACAAAGGGTGGGCCGACTGGTCACTCGGCGATATATATATATATATTTATATGTATATATATATATTTATTTTCCATTGAAGGTGGGCTTTCGTTTCGACATCTCTCCACCTGCCTTCCTCTCGAGGAATGGACCCCGGACATTTTACGAGACGCTGGAGACGCCGCTAGTTGGGCCACTTGGGAGATTAAGGATTTTCCTTCCGGTCTCTCGTTTAACCGGGATCGAGAGAGCTTTGACCGCGATTCTTGGCCCACTCTTCCTGGGATTGTTCGAATTTTAAACCCTGATTTTTAGGACCTTAACGGCGTTCGGTGAAATTCTAACGGCCATTTTTGGAACCTTAATTTGGGTTCTTGGAATTTTGTACGGTGATCCTGGGAATTTCAACGATGGATTTTATACTTTTAATTAATCGCTGGAATGTCAGACATGACAGGATTTTTAACGCGATCGTTAGAATTTCAAATGTGATTCTTGGAACTTTAACGCCATTCGGTGAAATTCTAACGGCGATTTTTGGAACCCTAACCTGTGATCCTGGGAATTTCATACTTTCAATTAATTGTTAGAATGTAAGTTATAATTATTAGAATTTCAACCATGAACGTCGACGGAGGAACTCGGGAGAGAATTCACGACCAAGCCAATTTACAGAACCCCAAACACCACCCTAGTACCAGAACGTCCACGCATAAAAGTTCACTGCCTCGGCCCAACAATTTCCTCCTAAAAAATCACGATCGAACCAACTTCCAGGATCCCAATCGCCACTCTATACCAAAATGTTCCATAAAAATTCTTTGCCTCGGCGCAATTTCCTCCTAACTCCTTTTCCCTCCTTACGTTCCTCCTAGGAAACCGCGATCGAGCCATCCCGAGGTACGGAATCGCTCTTCCTCGGCATAAGGGGCCGGGGAACCTATTAGAAACCGGAGAGGAGACCGTCGGAAATAAATCGCGAGGAATCGAGGTAGCTTTTTGAAAGGCCCAGGCGAGTGTGAGAGGCGCAGAGGCGAGAGCGAGGGAGCGGCAGGATAATCCGGAACAGTCTTTGGTGACTCGATCCGCTATTGCTCCCATCGCCACAAAGAATCAAATCAACCAGCAGGAGATTGGTGCCGTCTCCCTCCTTCTCTCTCCTCTCTTCCACTCTCTTCAGCCGAGGCAAACCCCCGGTCTCTCCATTCATCGGCCGTGCCCCTTTGCGTCTGATTGAACCGACGAGACCGCCCCTCGGTCCTGCGGGAAAACTCCTGGTGTGTGTAGGCAAAGTCCTCTTCTTCGGGCTCCTCCGCACCCTCTTCGGCCCTCTTCGTCGGCCCCATCAAAGTGGCAATCGCCGATCCTGGTGGCGAAGTGCTCGCTCCTCTTCTTCCGGGTCATCTTCGGGGTCGACCGCGTCTACCGCCGGGGCTATTACCTTAATTGACGCTTCCGTGAATAAAGAGCACTTTGATATCCACCTTGAGAGCCGGCTTCTTTGATCGCTTTATGCGATCCGACGAAGGGCGAGGACCTTCATCGGAATATCGAGGTACGTGTATAGGCGCTGGAAAGAAGAACTCGATATTGGACCTCGTAAGGATACTCTGGCTCGATGTAATTGGAAGTAAGGGTAAATATCTGGACCGAGAGGTTTAGGAGACCGCAGTCATTCGGAGTCACTTCCAGGTCGTCTTCTGGGTGGAGAAGTGGAGACATCGAAGCAACCACCTTCATTCATGTCTCTGTAAATGAACACTGCGTAACACTTCCTGGAGAGACACTCTTCGGTGAATAGATTCCTTACCAGAGGGATTCGTTATTGTATTTCATCGAAGCAGTTAACTGCGGTTGACTATTTACAACATGTGTGTTATGAAACCTATAATAAATGTAAAGTATACTTAGCGCTAATTAACGGACTCGAAGTACTGCTTGCTGTCTTTGGGGTTAGGCTTGATGGTTTTCGACTCGGGCTGCCAGTTAGCAGGGCACACTTCGCCGTGCTTCTCGACGAATTGGAAAGCTTTGATCAGACGCAGAGTTTCGTCCACGCTTCTTCCAACTGGCAGATCGTTGATGGTTAGCTGTCGCAGAATGCCTTCGCGGTCGATTATGAAGAGACCTCGTAGTGCCACACCGGACTCCTCGAGTAGGACGTTGTATTTAGCCGATATCTGTTTGTTGAAATCGCTTAAGAGAGGATAACCCAGGTCACCGCCGAGGCCACCTTGCTTCCTCGGAGTGTTGATCCATGCCAGGTGACTGAAGTGTGAATCCGTCGACACTCCAATAACTTGGGTGTTCAGTGCCTTGAAATCGGCAATTTTTTCGCCGAAGGCTACCAGCTCAGTAGGGCAGACAAACGTGCTGAAAGGAACAACTAGTCATCCCTTGAACTAATCATCTCGAACTAATAAACGTATCCGACTTACAAGTCCAAAGGATAGAAAAACAAGACGACATATTTGCCTCGATAGTCTGACAGCTTAATCTCTTTAAAATCTCCATTGACCACAGCTGTGCCGGCAAACTCTGGTGCAGGTTTCTGTACCTGCGGCCATCCGCTGAACAGGTTCGAACTCACGGAGAAACAGCGCACGCCTTTGAGCTGACTTTGTTTTGCCACGTTTATTGTAGAGCCTGCACTCAGTACCTTGAAATTAAACACCGTTAACAACCAATCTTAAGTCTTAATAAACAATTCCCATACTACTGTTACCCCCTTACCAAAGATTTCACTTGAGGACAAAGATTAGGCAGTAATCGAAACATCTCAAAGCTTTCGCTCTCGTCTCAAGAACTTGTATAGGTACGTAGGTTCGCGTTATATAAATTTGCAGTTCAATGAAGAGCTGGAATGTTAGGTAACTCTTCTGGAAAAGTGTATGTATTGCTATCACTGAATTAATTCTTGCTGCCTAATCGGATACGCTCCGATGAACGCCTCGTGTGGAGGTTATGTAACGAGCCGGTGATTCCGCGCAATCATAAAATGTCAACTTGATTGTGGCATTAAAATAACACGCGACTACCCTGCGATTTCGTGTATTACCCGTTTAAATAATTACGAGGATAAAAATCAGAACTGTGCAGTAAAAACCGGCGTGACGAGACAACTTTCCGGCTCGTTCGCGTACCCGTGACGGTAATACCATGCGGCAGTTGACGGTGATGGCTTACCTACGCTTACCGACACTGCACGCTTTTGACGGTAAGGGAAGAACACTCGTGGCGCCCTCTTTACTCTAAGTACATTGTTGCCCCGAAGTCGACGTGATACGGAGCTTTGTAAACGAGATTTGTAAACTTGTTTTACTGAAGCATTCCTTGAGATGCTCCAAAATCACCGTACTTAATGTACTTAACATACAGGTTTCAAGGGAGTTCATGGAAAAGATAGCTGCAGGTTGCATTAAAAGGCACATAATCTTCGAATTCATTAATAAACTGCTGATCTTTATAACACTTTTAGCTCAAACTTACAAATGTACATCACTACACCATTTCCTCGACACTGGGCGTAGTCTATCTACACATTGAAAACAAGATTTACATAGTCCTCGTCCCAAAAAGTTAGAAAAGAAAAACAAATAAAAAGACAAGTCGCTTCGTCGTTTCCAATCACTACTTACTTTCTTTAAGTATATTTTAATGTTCTTTTTTCACCTAATCCGTCTCGAAATGGCTTAAGTTTGGAACATTCTGAGAATTGCCACAGTTTTGACTTTTAACGCTAATATTCTAATGTAATGCACTAGCGAATAATTTACTAGGTACATGATTACCTCCGATCATGCAACGGGATATGACAATTCCAGATGTGATGTTAATTAAACTTGCACAAAGCCGTTTATAGAATGTTCCGAACGTAAACCACATTTTTAAACGCATCGGTTAAACACATGTAAACCGTAGACAACGAACTCCGAAAACTCTTCCCGAATACTTACACAGTATTATGAATAATCCAACCTAACCCGACGAAGGACCCTTGACTATGTCCAGTAAATATTTACAGGCGACACAGACAATATGAAAACGGAAATCATACAGTCCTTAAAGGAAGAAACTATCCTTCACCGCACATTACCAACTAATCGAATGAAATCACACACTTGAGGCACTTTCGCCAGACGTTGCATCACTCCGAGGGACTCCCTCCATCACTATCGATCGAGCCAGCAGATTCACCATTGATCACACAAAACGACTTTGTAAATACATGCTTAACACATATCTGCATAACAACTTCTAGATATAAAGCTGTAAATATTATCAATCAATTATTATACAGATATATTGCAAATAAAATTCGTAAAGTCATTTTTCTGTGCCTTCCAATGAAGCTGGCGAGAAAGTTGTGCGTGATTCTTTGCCGGAAGTTAGACGAACGCATTAAATCGAATTTGTTCAATTGGAAGCCGTCGCTGTGGCAGGTGCAACTGGCGTAGTAGCTGCAGATTCGTCGCTCACGACACGTCGATTTTTCTTAATTCTCTTCCATTCACCATTGGTATAATTCATTTGGAAGTGGGTTTCTACGAGCATTGACACCGTCGTGCCATCAGGTTGAGTGACATCTTCCACGTTTTCGGATAACATGACGGTGACAATGTTACCCAATTTTGGACAGGGGTTGTCTGCAACATTTATACATATTTGATATGTAGTATATAATATTAAATAACAAAGTAACAAAAATTTGACAAAACTCTTACCCCTCGATCCTGCCATGAAACCGAGAATAAGCGCTTTCTCCGGTCTGGTAACTTTGTTGGCAGTTCTGAACATTTCTTGGGCCTCCAACATTTGTTCTCTCTGTGCACAAAGACATCGATATACATAGCTGGTAGATCTTCCACAAAAAATTCGACATTCAATGACAGAAAGACGTACCGTAAGTGACAGGCCTTTTCTTGTGTTCGCTGCAGCATTTGCTGGCTGCGCAGTGGTTTGTATTCGGATTTGGGTGACAGTCTGAGCAGGTCTGACGGTTTGCACACCGACTGGAGTACTCTCCACTACAGGTACCACAGCGACAGGTGTTGTCACCGGTATTGTTGTACTTGGTGTTGTAGGAGCTATAGGCGTGGTAGCTGTGAAAAAATTATTAATAGTCGTAACGAATATTTGTTTTCGCTGTATACAAATATTTCGCATCATTTTGACTTTTGTTTCTCCTTTGAATGTAAGTCCTTTCGTTAGAATCCGGATTAAAAATTTTAAAATAGACTTACGTGTCTGAGGAGCAGCAGTGGGTGGCACAACGGTAGGTGTGGTTGGAGCAACGTAAGGCTGCGCTGTCGACACCGTGGCAGCTGGAGTGGTGGGTGGATTCAGCGGAGCCAGACCTTGAGCATATTCCGGAGTAACCGGAGTCTCTGCAGCTGTCGCAGCAGCTGAAGCTGCTGCTGCTGCCGCTGCCTGGACTTCGGCAACCTTCTTCTGCTGCTCTTCCAGCTCCAGCATTCGTTTCCTTTTCTTAGCCTGTGCGTAGCCAAGCGGTTGTTCGTTTATGTCCAAGAGCTTTATGCCTCCGTCTTTCCGAATTCGACTTGCAATCGGTGTTCTATTAGCCATCGAAGGACTCGTCAATGAAGGGGATCGGAAGCCACTGGTGGGAACCCTGCTAGGAATGCCCTTAAGCGGTGCTGAAATGAAGTTTACGAAATTTCAAAATAAATGTTAAAAAGAAGGGTGAATAAATACATGCATATTGTCATTACTCGTGTCAGTCATTTTTCTGGGCATTCCTCTACTTCTGACAGGTACTGTTGGCGCTGTACTCTTCTTTAGATTACTAGCCGCATCGACGCTCTTTTGTAGCAACTCAGCCCTTAATGCTGCACTTTTTGGTTTCCTCTTTAATGTAAAATGCTTCGTCGGAGCAGGCAGTTGACCAACCACAGAAGTCACAGCAGTTTTATTCAAATAATGACACTCCAACGGCAGCATGGCAGGATCATTCTGCTTCTTCAGTAATTTCCTCAAGTCGTTCACGAGCTCTCCGAATATCGGTCGATGCTCATCCAGATCGGTAATATCTGTATTCAGAGAACCCGTCGAGGGAAACGTCTTCATCGCTTCGGATAACATCGAAACCCACAACTCGCTGTCCAGCGATGCCACCTCGATAATTTCTTCCAGCTCGACACGCCACTGTATGGAACATTTCATATCTAATTAATTAAATCTTCACAAACTATGAACGTTAACGGTACAAGTGAAAATCAGTAGCTCTGAATTTAAATGAAAATAAAGGACTATAAATCTGAATCACTGGAATTCAGAACAACAAACTGTATAAGAAAATGTGCCACACTCCTCGACGGTGTGATCAACAGGTACCAGTTATCTTCGCCCTCCATCGAAGGCATCTCGGAGTCGACGTAACTCATACAGTAATCTCCAACGGTTGTCAAGAAGTTCAATATAACTTGTAGACATCTTACCATTACAAAATCCGTAAATTACAGGCGAGAGTACTGAACATTCCGAAAACATGGAGCGCGCAAATGAAATTAGATGGCGGGTTCCAGACTGTCCAAAAGCGTTTTGACTTTTAGGTTAACGGCACAGAGTTCTCGAGGGTGAAACGCTCTCCCGAGGTAGATAAATTCCTACAACGGAAGGAAACACGCGGCGAAGCTTTCCGAGAGAGCTTATTCGCGGTAAACGAATTGTACTTACCTCCTCGACATTCCGCCTCGGTATGTGGAAGAAGGAAAGTAATAATTTAAGCTTGACTTGGGTCTGCAGGTCCGGAAAACAGTCCTTGATGTTCCTTAGCACCTCCGCGTTTAGTTGCGAGCAAATCGAAGACCCGGTCCAGCTATCATTTGACGTTCCGAGCTTGTTATGTAGCCACAACGACGTATCGCTGTCCCTCACATTCGCCATATTGGAGTTGTGTGATTCGCAACTTCGCCGAACATCGCCGTGGCAGCGCCACATGTCCTTCCCGCCATTTTAAGATGGCCGCAGGGGCCGACGGGAAACCGATGTGTTCTTTTATTCACTGATCACCCCATAATGTTTAAGAACGTCAGGACGCAATCGCCCAACTAATCTCTGGTGAAAGTTCATCTAGGGAATTTAAATCCACAAGTTTGGTGATATTTCACCAGATGGCAGGACCGATGTGAAGAAAAATGTCCGTCTCGGTGATCGGTCTTCGCGTATGCGGGAAAAATGTGTTCGATTTCGCTAGTTTAGCGAAATCTTTGCCCTCTCAGATACAGCCGTGTAGGTACAGGTTCAAATTTGTCGATTTGCCAAAACCTGGCACACCTGGGACTTGCTTCAGACGGACTGTACACTTTGAAGACGAGTACACCGTCAGGCCGCAAAAAGTCACCCATTTGGCTGGCAGAGACCCTGTAACAGGTATTTAAATGTTCCCTTAAAAATCACTTAACAGGTGTCAAATTTAACAAATATTTTTATTTCCTAAATAATATGTTTAATTAGTTTTCCCCAATATCCACTTAAAGTGATTAGACTGCTTTTTGCATAACAGGTCGGGTCGTAGCCAAAGGAATTGGCGGAGGAGTGAAGCATAAATTTCACTGGATCAAGTGGATTCGAGATGGTCCAAAATCTGTGGATGAGAAGCCGAAGGAGGAAAAGGTACTCGCCGTGTTTAAGGATGGCTGCAGAACAGCTGACATAGCATTAGTTGGTTATAAGGATGAATTGAAGTATATCCTGGCAACGGAGAACATGAAGCCGGGAGATATTATTCGCACTTCCTGTGCCATTCCACGTATTGCTGTCAGAGCGAAGGAGGGTGACGCTTATCCCTTAGGAGCATTGCCAATGGGCACCCTGGTACACTGCGTGGAAAAGTACCCAGGTCTCGGTGGTTTCCTTATTCATGCAGCTGGGACGTGTGGAACGCTCTTACGTCGTGAAGGTGACCGCATCATAATAAAGATGCCCAGTAAGAAGGAGTTTAGTCTTCACGAGACTTGCATGGCTACGGTAGGGCGCTTGTCGAACATTGTGCACGGAAGTACACCTATTGGAAGCCATCAGAAAAACAGAGAGCTTGGAAACAGGCCGAGAAGTGGTCTTTGGCATCGCAAGGATGGTCGGCATGGACGTAAGATTAGACCCCCGCCACCTGTACGCAAGTTCGACTCTTCTAAAGATTCAGGCCTGGTGCGAGAACCTCTCAAGCTCACCCTTCCCTTCTAAGCATTTGTTACATTGTACAAATAGTTAATATAAGAATGAGAAAATATTTAAAAACCTTCGAGGAAGGATTTATTGTCTTAAATGCAGGTAGATCATTCGCCTCGACCGACTAGTATATGTTTGTCTATTTCCAAAGGCAGCGTACCAAAGCACTCCTTTGTAGACCGTCAAATAATAAGTACACTCTTTCGACTCAAAATAGCCACTAAAAGATGCAAAATTGATGAGTAAAATATCTCCACTTTGTATGCCAGGGAGATGCCTCGCATTGATCTGACAAACTTCAGAATTGCTAGGCCCTTCGATCCATTTCTTTTTTTCTTGAATCTTCTGTTCCAGTTTCCACTGCAAACGGCGTAATTGTCTTGACAGGCTTAATTCACAGTCCTTTGTTATAGTAAACCGTAGTGACTTCTGGTGCTCGCTTCAGGATTTCCTCCTGCACTTCCTTCTCCACTTTTTCCACGGGAACTGGGACTCTTTGCGCAAAGAGCGCGCAACAAAGTGGCGTCGCGAAAGTCAAGCAAACTCCACAGATCGCCATTTGAATCGGCGCTGCGGCCCATTTAGCGTTCTTCAAGAGATTTCTCTTCTCCAGAGAGGTCATGACAATCGGTGCCAAAACTGAAACGGTGAAATTTCATTAGAGCCTCCATACTCACGTGTTAAAATTTTTAATAATTTTACAAAACCAATTAACTAAAAAAATTAAATAAACGAGACTTTCATACCACCTTAAGGTACGGTTAGAAATGAAAAATTATGAAATATAAACCAGGCACTAAAAGGAAGTTCAATGCTCGAAGAGAATCTCTCCGGAGTCACTTTGCTCGATTTGGCTCCAACTTTATGTAATCAATACCACAATTCTGCTCCTTCTACCAACCCATGCTCGGCGACGCCATCAGGATCCTCGACAGGATCACCGAAGCAATGGCGACCTGCGCCATTCGTTTGCTGTTGCCGACCTTCGTTCCATCTTCAGTCTGAAGTTCGATGCCTCCGGTGAGCTCTGTGACTCTCATCAACGGAATGTTGACACAATTAGCCGCCGCAACGGCGGCTAAGGGCACGAGGCGCCCAACCAATGGCGGCGCCCTCGCGGCTAACCGGTTCAGCGTCAAGGCCGTCACGACGGCCCCTCCGGTGGCGCCTATGTAACTCTGCACCAGCGTGGAAATCGGGATAGGGCTGGAGCCGCTGCGGTTCGTGTAATTGACGACCGCATTAAAAGACTGATTGAACCACTGCCAAAAGATCACGGCGGGCGTCGACCTGAAACATTGACACGTGGAGTAGCCATTTTAATTATCGCCCTTGTTTTTATAATTATTCACATTTAATTATTGTGGAGGGATAGAAAGTGATCTAAATTTTTACGATGCGAGGTTGACCTAAGCTGGACCGTCGTGATGTAAGAGATAAGAGACGCGGAGAGTGCGAAGAAAAAATTCTAGGGATAAGACGGGACTCCTGGTTCACGTGTTATCACCGATTGCGCGGTCAGTGAGTGATAAGGGGCAGGTGAAGGGGTTGTTCGAAATGGCAAGGTGTGCGTACTTGTAGAAGGTCATCATGCAACCGGTGATCAGCATGTTCATGGGAACCTGGGCGCTCATTCGTCCAACCAGGACCATTTTCTCACCGGTATCAAGATGATAAGCGCTATCGTACAAGTATTTGTTGGCCCATAATTCCTCCTCGTCGATTCCAAGGCGTTCCAGAGTCTCGCCCTTCCTGAAACCAGATCAACAACATTAGTATAGATAAAAGAAACTCTAAATTTTAAGTCCACGTCTGCGTTACTAAATACTAGTTCGGTGTCGCCCTAAAAAATGAGGCTCGTAATTGCTCCAATTATGATATGGTGCACGAGTAAGCAGGCATTACATGGATACCCGAATTAAATGCATATGAGTGGCATGGCTAAAATTAACGGCTGACTTTCCCTTAACGGACTCTCACCCGTAGTAAGTTCCTTCCTGGCAGGAAGAATTGCATGAATTTTAAATACCGACAACAATTTCCATTCGCAGATTGCTTACTTTGTTACAAGACAAGGAATTACAATCACAGTTAATGTATCGCCTTATCACATGAGTAGTTAGACTGTTGCATAATTTACAGTTTGCGCAATTCGCTCAATGGTCAAGGCAATAAACAAACTCTGGAAGAACCGTTTGCCATATGGGGAACGATTATCATTTACGATCCCCTGGCTTACGAACACTTTACCAGCGTTATCTTGACCAGGGTCTCTGTCATCAAAATCAATGTAATCATGTTTCGAGCAAAGTCTGCTGCCGATCCATCGATTACCTATCCCATCTAAAAATGTGTATCGAAGGAATGGTAAAGAGAGATTACATCAGAATAAGAAACTACATCAAGCATAGATTGCACTCGGAATGTGGATTTTTATTTTAAGATATGAGGAAGGGTCGTCGATACCTGTATTTGGTGACGATGTCGCGGGCTCGTTCAAGCCTGGCGGAAGTGGCGAAAACGTTGAGCGGATTCGTCACTTTGAGAAAATGTCGAGCCCTCCCGCCATATGTGCTTTGGTCCCAGCGAGGCTTTTCTATGTCTATCTTGCTCACCGCCACGGGCTGCGGACTCGCACCCTCTCTTTCTCCCATATCGACGAGCTACACGTCCGTCTCTTCCCAGCGGAGATTCAAACGGGAACTCCCCTACAGGTAGACGAGAATTTTAAGCGCGAGGTTAGAATACTCGTAGCCGTCAACTGACCAACTCCAGTTGACTCGATCTCGTTGACTGAAACGAGGAAGCAGAGGCTCGTGCACGCCCTTCCCCATTCACTCCCTCTCCGTTAGATTGAGATGAATTATCAGATTTGGCGTCGATAAACGAGCGCGCGTCCGCCATTTTGATTCTTCTGGTTGCGCGGGAGTTTCGAATCTCTGTAGATTTCACGTGTGGGATTTTTCGTTTTCAATGCTTTTACCCTTCTAATACGTACATTTGTCACGTGATCGACATGGTCGTTTCTGATTGGACGAGAGGTTATGTCGCTGATTAAAATGCTTACAGGTGCGAAAATGCATTTGTGCGCAATTGTTTTTTGATATTTTCGGAACTTGAACGCGTCTTGAATCACTGGACATAGGGTGAGGATAAAGTGGATAAATTATAGCGAATCAAAGGATGGGAACCTATCATTTGAGTTTGGTACGTTAGTACCTATTTTTCTCTGAATTTATTTAGTTATTTCGAAGACAATGTCCTTTTATTTCTTTTACTGGTTTAGCGACTCCACCGTGCGGACATAATTTCTATGAAAACGATGATTAAGGAAATAACTACACCAACGAACCAGATTACGAAGACCAGGTGGACTTGGGACATGTCGACGGAGATAATTTTATCCTTACCGCTGTCTTCTTGATATTTAACTTGCAGCCAACGGTCCATCAATACATCCATTATACCTACCTCATGCAATTTTATTATACTGTGAAATGAAAGAAACGATAACAGCTGTGACTATGTAATCGCAGCGGAACATAGAACAAGTATGTATTTTATTTCAGAGAATTTTCTAAAATATATAAACTTACCTAACGTCGATGCTACGCTTGTACTTGAATCCTTTTATAATACCAGAAGCGACCCAAGTTTCAAAGTAATGTATACCGGTGGGATTTAAAGGACACGTACGACCTCGAGCTAATTTTATTAATTCCGACTCAAATACGGCGTACTTCTTTTTCTTTGAGAAACAAACTTTGTGGTAAATCTCAGTAACATTATCGAGGAAAAGTACGCGGTTCTTTTCTTGCATTGTGTTGTAAATTGGTTTCTCGCGTTTCTGAAATATCGAAGTAAATAATAATTGTTTCGATCCCACCTATTGAGACATTTTTCCTCACCTTGAATACTATATAAGGAAATGTACCACCTGGTATTATTACGTTATACTTGGTACTCTTTGTTAGACTCTCTAAATCAGTAAAAGGTGGTATGAAAGTTCTGTTCGTCATGTTAGATATCAGGTGCGAGCTGAAGGCGAGAAGTATTAACCAAGCAAAGAAGCTAATCGTTACGTCGAGTGCTTTGGATTTTCTCTTCAGAGCTGGCAACACGTTACCTGGAATTATTTTTACGCAAATAATTCACCCTGCTCAAAATCATACCTAACGTAGACCTAACATTTTATTTTCTTGTTTGCAAGGATGCTGTCTTTCGATGCAGTTCATCGAATTACTGATTCACACTTCTGCTTCACCAACCTTGATTGCACATCATGGAAAAGGTGAACAGCAAGTGATCACCCAACGAATAACCCTGCTTAGACTGTGGTCGACGGTCAGTAGTGGTGTGGAACATGAAGCTGATCATACCGAATATGAGAAACAAAGTGATAACGACGGTCCAGACTTCCCAGCGAAAAACAGTGAACATCCAAGTGACGTCGTTCTTCCATTGTGGACGAATGTACAGTCGATACCTTGTATGCGAATATAAACAAAGGGTAATATCATTACTACATATGGAGGTACTTTTATTTATTGATACATAACGATGAGTAAATCTCACCTAGTTTTCCAAAAAGCCATGCTAAAGTCCAGAACTTCAAGTCGAACGGTGTAAGTCTGCACCCTGGGTACAACGTCGACTTCATTCCGACCAAGTATTCCAAGCAAGCCGCTGAAGCTCCCATTCTCAGTCTGCATACCAAGATAAGTGTCTGTCCTTCTTACTACCAGACTTAAGGTTATTCAACACGTTAAAAATGAATTACATTCCACCTCTTTCATCGAAATAGCATTGCTTTTTAGGTTAACCCTTACGTGAAGTTCAAGTGCTCCGCAAGAGTATTCCAGATCTCTCCGACAAGTCCTGTGACTTTGGTGTTGTCGTCATAAAAATCTGTGATGTAACGTTCCTGCAACAGAGAAGAGCCTCGTAAGTAATTTCTGAAAAACCTCTGCAAGGTATCGAGTGAAAATACATCGAAGTACCTGATAATACGTTAGTCTAATAGGGGCCCGATGGAAATTATGCACTTCGAGTATCCGTGTTCTTGCGAGTGCCACTTCCTGCATCGCAAGGAAACTTGGAATGCTGGAAATGGGCACAAAGTCATCCTTCAGTTTGTTCCATATCACTCCGTTAGCTCCTTGGCATTCTCCGAAGCTTCCAATTATCACTACGATGATTAAATTGATCATTTAAAGTCCCTGCCGAGTATTAACAAATAGATAAATAAATAAAAGGGCGACGTGGAGTAACCATTAAGCATCTAAAAGGACAATTCTCCTCGGCGAATGCCTTTCTCGTGATTTATTAGTCATTTATCACGTGACGCTTCCGTGACTCGTGAAACTTTATCACGGTTACACCTTCTATTACGACGTGCACTTTGACCCGGCTTTTGCATTTACAGGATCGATTAATGTCGCGACCTTTAGATGCAAATCCTGACCAGCGATTGAACGTCCCGCCGACCTCAACTGATACCTTAAAACGAGATAAATCATTATTTCACCCGAATTGTTTAAGAACAGTCATACATGCTTTATACCTAGAAGGGAACGAAGTTCAACCCACCGCCAGCGTACAAAAACATTAAATTGTATATTGTATTCCGTTGAATATATGTATAAAGGACTTATACGACTACATCCTCGCTCGCCGTATGACGCTCGACATAAATTAATATTAAGCCTAGATCCTCGTGACGAACCGGCGAAGTGGACTTTACGGAAACGATCCACTTCGCTACTTCGTCTTTGAATTAAAAAAAGGTCCTCTCCGAGGGGCTAGAAACGATTTCTCGGATCGTCCCTCGAAAACCGACGTCCACGTGGACTAAATTCGCGCGTCCAAATCGCGATAAAAAATGATATAAAAAGTATTGTACTCGCCCCCTTTCCTCCGAAGGGCTCTCAGGTCTTTCTACGCCGGAAGATTCGTCGATAAAAAACGTTTATTGTTAAAGTAATTCGACTCTTATTCCCTTTTCAACGAGCCGTTAATAGTCCACCTTCGCTCGGCAGAGTCTCGCGCCAAGTACACTGATAAAGATCGATGGAAATTTACATACATTTTAAGTCACCTCGTAACCAGTTTCATATATATATATAAAAAAAAAAATGCATTGTGTATCTGAATTAAATTGTAACATTACGTTATAATTTCCCTTAACTTCCCTTAGAATCTGAATATGATGTTACGGAGACAACGTAACTTAATTGGGATTTATTGTGCCATCGAAACAACCAATGACGGAGTATGTAAATTCACATCGGTGGACGTTTAAGACTTACTGCCCTTTTGTCAGTGTACATTTAAGTCTTATCACTAACGTCGAAACTGACAATCGACGGATCGCAGTGTTGTACACATATTACAACAGTGTAAATATCCCGAAAATTCGCATTTTGTGCGGACAAAACTCGCGATTCAGTCAGGTGTTCTCGAAGTCGTTAATTATTGCAATGTCGACTGGAAATATCCCGGCAGTCATTGTTATTACCCTTTCCTTTCTCTCTTTTTTCTTTTTTTCTTTCTTTCAGGCTTCGAAAGTACTACCGACAAGTCGGCAGAAAGTTCCCTCGTTCGCGTTAATAAATAAATACTTTATCGGCGGTTGGCGAGAAAGAGTTAATTAGGCTCGGTTAAAATCGAGGAATCGCAATTAAATAGATATAACGATTCGCGGGATAAGGGGGTAATCGATGATTAATGACGAACGATTTGCCTGTCTGTCGGAGCGATTAAAAGTGGGTCATTATCGCGACACGCGAAGTCTATCAGTCGATATTTAACCCTTTAACGGAATTTACCGAGAACACTCATTTTCGAGAAATTGACGAGTAAAATCCCGTGACATAATGTTACATGTACATTTTTAAACAATAAAATATTTTTACAATATAACTAGTACTAACAGTCATTTTGTCATAATTAAGGAGTACGCGGCATCGCTTGATTTGAAAAAAAAAAAATATAGATGAAATTCCACCGTTAAAGGGTTAACAACAATTGTTCTCAAATCGCGAGTCGGGAAATCCGACGTGTAAGGACTTCAGCATTTCCCCCGAAATAAAAATACATATAAATAAATACTAATATTAAATACAATCGAATGCCCCGCTAGGCAGTACGATAGTTACAGGTGCGTCGCCTCCGAAGGGAAATGCTTTGGAAACGAGATATAAAAAGAGAAAAGAAATATATATCCAAAGTGCCTCGGAAGCGACCAGCTTCCGGGCCATCGCATTGGCAGTCGCGATTCATCCCTAGAAAGGTAATTCCTCGAGAAAGTCACATTTATATACATTAATCTCAGGACGCGAGAATACTCGGGAAAGTCGAGGATGGCCCGTCCGCCGTTTTACTTCTGAAGTGTCCAAGTCATTTTCAATGCGATCATGTGTATGACCTCGCCCCTAATGTTCATCTTCAAGCCCCAACACGGAACTCCCGGCAACTCTCTTCAAGGTATCACAGAAAAAAAAACGGAGATTTCCGTTATCTGTGAGTCCATAGTCAGTTTAAAAGCGACGACTCCAGGAATCGAGGGACAGGTTCAGGTCGACCCCACGCAATTCCGGCGCGCGTGCCGAATACCGAGGATAATACTTCTTGAGATACCTAGCTACTTCTTCAAGTACCTTAAGCAACGTAACTTAAGAACGAGGTGCGCCAACTGGTACCACCTACAAGGTCATCTCGATTTCCACCACGGTTCCACCTGAGGACCCTCCACCGTCATGCGTATCCACCACCTCTATTTTTTCCCGGACTCTAGATCCGCCTTTCCTTCCAGAAACGAGTCCAAGTTAGTTCCCGAAGACTTTGTAAAAAAAATCCCAGGGTACCTCCAGCCGCTCAGGAAGCGGCAGCCATGGCCCGACGACGCGCTCCAGTGGCCCCAGGTTGGTCCCCGAATCCGGGAACCAGGACCGACCCCTACGGATCACCGTCTCTTTCTTCACCCCGTCACTTGGAGACCCTGGTCTCGGTGGCGATCTTGCTGGGGTCCGGTAACCTGACGACGAGCTGCGCCCCATTCTGCAAGGGTCTGGTCCCGTTCGCGTTGTTGCTCTTCGAGGTCGCCATCTGAGGGGTGGTCGGCAGTACTTTCTTCGCCCCGCTCAATTTAGGCGAGCAGCACATCTTGTCCTCGTACTCTACATGGTTCCCGTTAACGTTTCCACCATGGAAATTCACCGGAGTCCCTGAAGAGTTGTGCTCAAGGCCGAAGGACGCATGCGTCCTCTGGTCAGCCATGGAGTTAGGGTTGTGGACGTTACCGACGTTAACAGGGAGGGACTTTATCGTCTGCCCATGGTCGTTCACGGCGCACAAGGGGGACTCGTGGTTGGCCTTGAAGAGAGGGTCCGCCCTCTTCAGGGAGTCGTTCCTGAAGGTCGGCGCCGTGGAGTTCCCTCGGCCAACCTTGTGGCCGCTGCCGTAACTCGCGACCGACTCGTTACAGAAGTCGCTCAAGTACGTCTGATTCGTGTACCAGTTGTGAAGACGATGATGTATCTCAGGGAACTGGGGCCTGCGGTTCGCCACCTCGTGCCAGCACTCTATCATCAGACTGTAGATCATTGTTGGACAGTCCTCAGGGCAGGGCAGAAGCTGTCGGGAGCGGATCATGTCGATCACTTCCTGGTTGTTGTAGCCGTAATATGGCTGCGAAAAGAAATGAACATTAATTCTATTGTATTAAGCATATTAACTGGTAATCAAAATGGACCAGAAAAGTTCATTACAGGGTCTTAAGTGAACATTTTCATTCCAGGATTTACCTAAAAGCTCATGAAGGAATTACCTGCAAGCCGTAGCTGTAGATCTCCCAGAGCACGACGCCAAAGCTCCAGACATCGGACTCAGTCGTGAACTTCCCGTAGAGGATGGACTCTGGTGGCATCCATCGCACCGGAAGTAGACTCTTGGACTGAACTCTATAATAATCGCTGCTGTAGATGTCTCGAGACAGTCCAAAATCCGAGATCTTCACGGTAAGACTATCGCCCACCAGGCAGTTCCTCGCCGCCAGGTCGCGATGGACGTAATGATGTCCAGCTAGATATTCCATTCCTGAGGAGACAATGGTCAATTAAGCGATCCAAAGTACAAAATAGAGATCGTAACAGATTTTACAAGTCACCCACCGGATGCAATCTGCAGCGCTATGTGCAGAAATTCGGGTTGTTCCAGAATCTTCCCGTTCCCGTTGTTCAGGGGGACGTCGGACCTCGGGGAATGGCAGATCAGAAATTCATGCAGGTCGCCCTGGGTCATGTACTCGAAGAGCATGCACATAGGTTCCCCCTTCAACACGACTCCTAATAAACAAATGATGTTCGGATGTCTCAGGTCGGTCATCAGGTCGACTTCCCTCTTGAAGTCGCTCTGGGTCTTCGGGCTGGCGTTCTCCTTCAGGGTCTTCACAGCTACGTAGATTGAGCCTTCGCATTTGCTGTCGCTCTGAAGTTCGCCTTTGTACACCTTTCCTGGAGGGAGAATGGTGTTGCGATTATGATAAAAATTGGAAAAAAACGTGGTGATTAAGGTTTATTAATAAAGGGCTCATCTACTCACCGAAGGCACCCTCTCCGAGTTCCTGGAGGAAGGTCACATTGTTTACCGTAAATTGGGGCACTCGATTGTTGGAAGTTCTGCTGCTGCCGCTGCTCAGAGTTCCTGTTCCTGGAGTCGTGTTACCCGGACCCGCTAGGAGGGAACTCATCTCCATGGGCTGGGTCGTGCTCCGTCTTCCGTCGTAAATGTTCTTGTCGCACTGCATACCGGTCAACATCTAAAAACAATTTTTAGAAGGTAGTAAAACATATTTATAACATTAATGAAGCCTTACCTTGTTCGAGGGCAAGTGGTTCGTGTGTCTTCTGGATTTTCTGCTTTTGTAGCAGCAGCAGTAACAAACCAGGATGATGACGAATCCACCGCTTAGGACAACAGCCACTACGGCATAGATCAGCAAATCTTCTGCGGAGAGGAGAAGATATGTTTCTTGTAGCTGATATTAATATTAATTTGGTCAGAACATTGTTAGTGAATTTTTGCACGTACCACATCTTGGTATATCGCAGAACTCTTTCAGCATTTTGTGGTTGGAGTCTACGTAACACCAAGGCTGAGCTTCGTTACCTCCAGGATTTCGACAGTAGGAGTGATTTCCTCTTAACTCTGGATAATCCGCGATTGGCAAATTAAAATGTTCTGACCACCGAAGACATGGACGTCCCGAAGCACTCACGTTCGTTACGCCTCGATATTGATTACCACTACGCCAGAAGCAGTAATCGTCTAGAAATTAAGAATCACGTAAATTTATAATCACTCATGATTGCAGAAAAAAGTTTTGATAAGAAGTGTTTCTTCCGTTGTACCCACTTTCTTCGATATTGTGTTCAGTGGAGAGTCCGAGACTGAGACAGTCGACAGCTTCTTCGGAGCCATCCAGGGGCAGGTCGGAACATTTTACCAAAGGCACTTGCTGTCCGATCAACGGATGTCTCTTGGCAATTGCATATTCCTTACGACACAATTCGTTTTCCAACATTTCGCACTCTGCCCTGCAGATTCTTCGCAATCGACGATTAAGTTCGTTCCTCGCAGCAGACCTTGTGTCTCCGTAACTGTGTCCGATTAGTCTTCGGTTTGGTACTTTTCCTTCTTTATCCAGAATGGACTCAATGCCCGGTCCAAATTTTGCACTCCGCTTCCGAGGGAGTCTGCGAGATCTCGGGATGTCATCGACGCTCTCGTCACCGTCATTCTCTTCGTTAAGTTCACCCTGATTGGAGTTGAGTAGATTAAATAGCTGCGTACTGGCCTCGGAATTCTTGGGTTTCTTGTTCTTCAGTCCGTCTCTGCAGATCGGAAAGGTGGAATAGCACAAGGATGGCTTTGCGTAACTTTCACAGTTGGAGGACAGTTCGCTGCAAAGGTAGAAAGATAATCTCTAAATGAAATACGATCATACATTATTATTCAGCTGAGCGTGACGACTGACATGCAAATGACACTTTTAAGGGTTCATACTTTGAGTAGTTAATCACACGAAATGCTTGTGTCAATTTATCCTCCAACAGCTTCTGTGTCATCGGGTACAGGATGTAGACGGACTGATTTCCAACAAAATTTGCACACGTTTCACCGATGTACAGCTGGAAAAGAAAGTAAATAGATTACACGTTCTTAGGATTAAGAATTGAGACAGATCTTGAAATAAATTGGGAAATTCTCACCTCACAACTTCCCTCATGATTGTCCTTTCGCGCAGGCATAGAACTTGCTCCGGGTAGGCTGGCGAGGTTCGTCGCTCCTGACAGTAGTTGCATATTGACATTACTAAGGCCGCTCGATGCAGTGAGATCCATCGTACTCGACTGTGAACTGGTGGGCTGAGAGCTCGGAGGCAAAGCACCAAAGGCGTTAGTCGCCGGTGGGTGAGACATGTGTGGAGTTGAGGCTCCATTTCCTGATACAGTCATTCTAACATCGCTGGTCGTGCTATTCAAAACAACAAAACATAATTATCAACAAAGAGCCACAACAATTAAAAACGACAAATTCTCAATTCAAAGGCATATCATCTCAACAAAGAAGGTCCTTGAGACTCTTACTCGTTATCTCGACGTCCGTGCCTGTGATTAAAATGTTTACGAACGTCCACAAAATATAACCTCAAACTAACGAGTACGTTTACCAACAAGCTTCATTGTCATCGTTTAGCGCGTCTATAATACGTTAAATAATAAAGAATCTGAAGTAACTATTAATTCTACACCAAGGAAATATCGCGTTCACGACAGGAAATAGAACATTTTTTTTGCCGAGACTTCATAACCTAGGAATGAACAACAGCGAATAAAGCTCACCTCGACCCGGCATTATCCGTAACACTTAGGCTAGTTTTCTCAGCTAGTATAAAAATACACGAAATCTGCAACAACACTAGGTACGCGAGTAGCTTCATAATTACAAATTCAACAATCAAAACATTGGATTTAAACGTAAACTTTGTGTCATTTGACACCACACCCGGCGGCCATTTGCAATTGCAATCGACACGCCGCGCGTCGCGACTTCGATAATCGATTCGCGCACCCGCCATGTTTGAACTCGTCTGCAACCGCCCGAGAAGAAAGCGAATAGTCTAATAATTAAAAACATGTCCAACTTACTTGTCCAATCGATCGAAAAAATTAGGCACAATCGGCGAGTGTCCCGCAGCCTCGCTCGTAGGACTAGCCCCTTTCCCAGCTGTAACAAAAAACCCCAAAATAAAAGTTTTATCCACGGCAGAATTCTTTTCCGCTAATTGCGCAACCTCATTAAAATTCATCATTTCTCGGAATTTCGAGTGGAGGGGCACATTCAAATTGCATATTCAGTGCGCATTCAAATAAATCTTGGGATTTACTCCACTCTATTACGAGTCTTTGCTGTTTTTACTGTTTTCTTAATCTCAGTCTGAACTTCTCGGAATCCAAAATGGCGTCGCAGGAGCGCAGCCGAATGGCTTCGGCGAGAGTACTTATTTCTTTTTTTGTTCCTAGAGATTTAGAGATTTCACGGCCCGTCTTAGGTGGGAATTCCGTGGAAGATAGAAAGAGGGGCCTGAAGAAATTCGCGGAAGGTCTTTCCGATCTCGACCACGCGATATATCACGGCTTGTGTCAGGGGAATACAAAGTGCGAGGGCCTCGCAGGTGGAGCGTCGTATTAATCCTTTTATCCACGGGCGAAGGAGCCGGCTTTGTGCGGGCCCGCTTTTCGGAAACGGAGAGGCGAGAAAGGGGGGAAAAAATTAAAAAGCAGGACCCTCGCATTCCCATTTATTATTTATCTCCCCCCAAGGCCGGCGCGTCTGGCCCCTCTTTACGTAAACGGGATTTCTAAAGAGCCCACGAGACGAAAGGGAACAACGCGAGGGAGAGGAGTCGGCCTGCAAAAGTGCCGCGAACTTTCTTCATCACCCTCCCGCACCCCCGATTCAATTTTTACACCTCTCTCTAGACAAACAAACGAGACCCGGAAAACTCGGGCCAAGACGCTCCTCGAGTGAAAGCTTCGAATTCATCCGGCAGACTCCTCTCTTCTCGTCCTTTCCTCCGTTTTCTTTTTCTTTTCCTCCTCCTCTCTTTTTCCGCCACCCTCGACAGGCATTCACTCGTCTTAAATCTCGTTAACGAGCTCCGGGTAAATTAAATGCCCCTATTTTCGAACCCGATTAAACCCTGCGGTTGAATTTTCAAGTTACAATCGTATTACTCGCTGTTAAGGAAATATCAAATTGTAATTTCTTTTTCTTTTTCCTTCCTTTCAAGGAAATGTTGGAGTGCAAGCTCTTCGCTTTCGTATTTTCTTTCTTTCTTTTATAATCTCGATTGAATAGAGGTTAGAACAGCGTAAATTAATTATTTCTAAAGGGCACAACCAAAAGTGAGGTTATAACGGTGTAAACGTTGTATCTTTAAAGTGCACGACGATCTAAAAAGGTTAGAAAGTATCTTTGTTTCAGGACTTCCGGTAGGGGGAGGGAAATGGCGATCGCGGAGGAAATTGGAGCGAGGATTCTTTCGGAGCTTTCAGCGCGAAGTGGCGAACCGTCGAGTCGCATCAGGCCGGAAAGTTTTGAGGACAATAAGAAACAAGACCCGGTGGAAAGGCAATAAAAGCGAAACGACGCGACGGGGATCGCAATTGATTTTGTCACGCGGACGAGAGCGACCCCCGCGAAGCGGCCAACGACTTCGCCGATACTTCGCCCGGTGTCGTACATCCGAAGTGAAAAGTATATCGTGTACATATATGTTTATGTACAAGATATATAGATATATACATTGGGAATCCAGCGTCGTGCATCGCACACCCGGAAGACAAGACGAAACGGTCGTACCTCGTAAAACCACGACGAAATATCTCTGTTCCTCCGCGTCTCGACACCTACGAGCCGCCATCTTGAATTGGCCCGAGGGCTTACCTAGTTTAATGAAAATAAATAAATCTCCGTCTGTTATCCCTCTTAAACCCGCGTAAACATTTTCCTGACATTCTGAAGGTCCAGTTCCTTAATATGAAATACAGGTGGACGCGAAATTCAGGTCCGAAGGGGACGAAATGAATTTTCGAATGAATGGTAAGTATAACGCTTGGGATGCTACTACGCGTCCGCCATCTTGATTTTCTCCGAAGGCTTACCTACTTGAATGGAAAAAAAAAGAAATCCATGTTTTCCATCCTATCCCAACCCCCAGAATATTTTCCTAGCGTTCCAAAAATTCCCTCCCTCCATCTAAAAATATAGATAACAAACGGATTTTCACGAAAAGGTTAGAAAATAATATTTTGAAATTATGTACTTTTCGAGGTCGCGGGTGGGAATGAATTTTCACCCCTTGACAGGATGCGGAATAAGTGTCGCCTTTACGGCGCAAAGCGTTTAATTTCTGTTTATTCCGGTAATAAGATTGCCGGGGCGTCCCGGAAAATGCTAACGGCTAGAAAGAGGGAAAAGGGTGGGGAAAATAGACGGGGGGAGGAAAACTTTCCGACTGTCTCGGAAGTGTCGTTAAATATGCCGTCTTCCAGGCTGCTGGGGAGAAATTAGACTTTAAAAACGCCCCGTGCCGCTTTCGGCTCGCGATAAGAGAGTCGAAACTTTCGGAGCCTCTTCCACCCCCGAGATGGGTGGCGGTCTTTCTTTTTTCGCGACCTAATTTAAATATGCCGGTACACGAGCCCACCCCTCTGAGTAGGGCTCTCTTGGAATGGAATATGTTAATCCACCCTTAAAATCTATCGATCCCCCTTCGATTGCCTTAGACGTCTCTCTCTCTCTCAAAAAAAAAAAAAAGAACATTGCAAGTTTCCAACTGACAAGGAATTTCCGAAGAAAACCCGAATTGTAAATTAACACTTGGTTAATATCAAAAAATTAAGTACCCGCAAATTTCACGTCACATAATTGTTTTTTCTTGGCTCAAAACGAGAGGAAAAAAAAAATCCGCTTACAGAATTAACGATTTTTCGATAAATCAAGAATTTCATTTTCCGCCCCAGTGTCGTTCGAAAAAGTGCGCTAATAATTAATTCTCCATAAATTATTCCTCCCATTGGCAGGAAAATTGGGGAGAGCGGTCCTCCCCCTCCCAGTGCCCCTTAAAAGTGGAAGAGGGAGCGAGACAAGTTCGCCGGGGGTCTTGAGATGAAAATAAAATTTTCCGGGGGAGACACGGGGAGCTCCTCTCGAAGTGGCCCGGCCCTGTACTTACTTAACTCTGCACTTCGCTTTGTACTTTTCGGATCTGTGGAGTGGAGGGAGTAGTATAGGGGAGAGGGTAATCCGCAAGTGGCGGAGTGGGGGAAGCCTGGTCAGTGGAGTGGGGGAAGCCTGGGCAGCGGAGTGGGGGAAGCCTCGATGCGGGTCTCGAGGGGTAGATCCGAATCGCGGGCGTTATTTGCTCCCCAGCCGCCGAGGGGAGCGGAGCGGGTCTTCTGTGAACGCGTGTACAGAAAAATATGGAGGGCCCCTCTTTTCCCTCCCCATCTCTGGACGTTCTTAAAAACCAATTCGACTACGATAAACCACCCTCGACGATTATTGCCGGGGAGATTGCCTCCTCGCTTTGACGTCCCTCGTCCCTCCCCCCTGCTCATAAGCCGATGTTTTCTCTCTCGAGATTGGCTTCGGAATCACGTGGAGGAGGTGAACCTTTCTTGATTATTTTCCACCAGGTTTTCAATTATTTTATGATATTTTCCCTATTCATTTTTAGATGGCTTGGTGAGTACTGGATGTCATGAAATTCCAGCCTGATTAGTTTTGTATTATACTTTGTATCATTTTGGGTTCCTTAATTCCCACTGACGATTTTTTGTATCGGAAATTTCCTGACTCCCCCCGAGTCGCTATCACAGTAATTGTAAAAATTATGAAATAAATTTATTGAAGAAAAAAAAGGCGGCGATTTTTTATTTCTCCAATATGGCGACTCGAAGTTCTTTCATCGGCGCGATTTTTCGATTCTTCACGGCGCCGACCCCAGAGTCATATTTACAAGGGGGTCGCGTTTAATTATGCACTCGTCCGACATTTGCAACCCGAGGAGCGGAAAATCGCGTGTCCCCAGGAGTGCGTGCAGTTTGGCACAAACGGGGCCAGGCTGGATGTTGATAAGTATGGCGGAGGAAAGTTTTGTCGCCACGGTCGGACTAGGAAAGGAGGGAATTATTAATGCCCCTTAGCCGGCTTATCCTTCGCACTTCCGGTCGCCGATAAGCGATACGGGAATACAGGGCATATACGGGGATCGAGCATGCCATTCCCTTCCCATCGCGGACGTCGCGGTCGGGAATTTATGGCCAAGAGGAAGAACGGGCCCGCCATTTCCGGAGGCCGGAAGTGCCCGTCCAATTATCGCATTTCAGGGGCGGCATGTAAAGGAAAGTATTTACAGGGGGTACTTTCACCGTAAATACCGTATTAACATCCCCGCACACAAATACCTTCCTTCTCCATCGAGCTGGGACTCACTTCCGGTGACCGGAAGTCCCCCGAATCGTCGCGTATGATAAAGTGGTTCGATCAATATCGTTATCAATATTAATTTCCCCCCTCGGGTAATTAGTACCAATTCCTCGTGATACCTTGATTCGCGGTTTCCGCCCACCCTCGTTTCCCTCCTCGGATGGGCATCGCTTCCGGTTTATCTTTTTCTCTTCTCGTCGATGCCGGAAGTCCTCATCCAATTATCGCCGTAAACAGGGAATTAATTTCCCCGTAAACACTGGGTAACCCCACCTGAAGGATCCCCTCGTCCTCTTCTCTTGCTCCTTCGATAACTCCTCGACGCCGGGGATTACTTCCGGTCGGCGTTTTCCGGATACCGAAAGTCTTCGTCCAATTACCGCGCTCTCAGGGAACCGAGAGACAAAGGTAAAGGGGGGGGGGGCGAGGGGGGGGAGGAAACACGAGGAGGTGGGCGGGGAAGCCGCGGAAAGAAAATCTCCTTCTCTGAGTTCTATCCTCTCGGTTCCTTTATACCCCATTTTCCAATGAATTTTCCTCCCCCGGAACTCTGGGGAGGGAAAACTTTAGAAAAGGGAATTCGATCGGACAGACCTCCACGTGATGCTCTCGTAAAGAGGGCTCCTCCACCTGCGGTCGTAGCGCGGTAGTAAAGCTCGATTTTTCCCGAAAACCCCGAAGGAATTGAAAACTTGAAAAGTTAAGCGTGAAAATGTCTATTTTGGATATGA